GGGACAACTTTGGGGGGGTTAGAAAATCAAATTTAAGGATCATTTCATGCCAAAAAAATTCAGGGACCAAAATTAGACAAAATTAATAAGTGGAAGGACCAAACTAAGTACATTAAACCTTTTCACAATTTTGTGTTCCGCAGGGACTCAAATCTTTAAATTGGTGCTTCCACTCTAGTGACTTCTGCTACTCTTCCTCCTTGAATTTTGATTCGGCAATCGGAGAAGTCAACAAACTAGTTCCGGAATGCTGAATTCCGAGGATCTTCCCAACGATTGTCTCGCCCTTATTATCTCTTTAACCAGTCCACTCGATCCCTGAAGATGGTCGCTAGTTTCCAAATCTTTCAACTCCCCCGCCGGTTCTGACGCCCTTTGGGTTAAGTTCCTACAGACCGACTACCAGAATTTGGTTCCTGCATCGCAATCCTTTTCTTCCTTGAAGTCCCTTTATCTCAGCCTCTGCGATCATTCTGTCCTCATTGAAGACGGTAAAAAGGTATAGAAACATCCCAAGTCCCAACCTGCTCTCTGATTATTTTGTTATGTTGTTCCTCAAATGAATTTTATTTTATTTTTTCCTGATTTGGTTTGTTAAAATTGTAAGGTATCAACGTTTTGGATATGGCCCCTAAAAAAATTCTGGTTCTGCCTCTTTCTTTCTTTTCACCATTTTTTTGGCCAGCTTCCTTTCCATTGCTGTGTGTTTAGATTAAAGTAAAATTAATGTATTTGGACAATGATATAGTTACAATGACAAGATTGTAAGGTTAATGAAAGCTTAATTTGTCATTAGATGAGTCGGTACAGATGCATACTATATCTTGAATCAAAATAATTAATCATATAATGACACATTACAATTGTACAAGCGATGGTTGGTGTTTTTTATTGGTATTCCGAAGGTTAGCTCGCAGGCCTTATAGCATTACCCCAACTTAAGATGATCGACAATAGACTATGTTTACAGGACTTCATGGTTGTTGCCTATGTTTCTTAATTCTAATGGACTATGCTTTGAAAGACGATTATGTTCTTGTTGTTAATATAATGATTAACGATTTTTATGTCCTTTCTATGGGGAGTTTATGTGATCCTTTTGTTCATTGTTTACCAATACATCATGAATTGAATTGAAGCTGATCAGAGTAGTCTTTTCCATACTATTATTTTGCAATACTAGCGTTGGGTCTTTAATCATATCACATACATTACACAGAGCTTTTCACTGGACAAAAGGAGTGGGAAAAAATGTTACATGCTAGCTCCCAGGAACCTCGCAATTGCATGGGGTGATACCCCTTATTATTGGAGGTGGATCTCCATACCCGATTCCAGGTATCTTTCTCAACCACACAGGAATCACAAACAAAAACATGCATTACACAAAACGTATACATACATTTAGTCATTTAGAACCAAAATTATTCAAGCAAGCCGACGCGTGATTGCTTTATATAGTCTCCTTCCCCAACCTAGAACAAATGGATATGTGATAATATGATATATAATTCATGCCTACATTAATTTTCAAACAGGTTTCCTGAGGTTGCGAAGCTTCTTGATGTCTGTCGGTTCGAAATCACTGGGAGGATTGATAGTTGCAATCTTTCCCCGATGACACGTTATGATGCTTTCCTAGTGTTCAAACTGGCAGCCTATGCTAAAGGATTTGAGAATAAACCCATAGATGCTACTTTTCGACTTGGTGGGACTCAAGTTTCAAAGCGAATTGTTTATGTTCATGTAGATAGTGGACACGTAGCACAAAATGGTGAGC